CAGCAGGTCGAGGGAGGTGATTCTGCCCCTCTACTCTGCTCTCCCAGTACAGATGAAACTTTCATGTCAACAAGCTACAGCTGGGACTACAGACTCTCAGGCTTCCAGTGCAAGCTTCCCTTCCTGTCCTGCCCTTAGAGAACCCAGTCTCATAGCCTAGAAGAACGCATAAAGTCAAACCCACACCAACAGTGCTGCTGTACGTATACAGTCAGCCTTAGAAGAAGTTGGTATTTGTATATACAATTCTGCATACTTCTACTAGGCAACGTGAATTTTCAGGACCATATACATATCAGCCCCTATATCAGGGCTACCAGAAACACACCTGGGAAGACAGCATTAAGATGCTGTTTGTTGCTGGAAAAACATGAATGTGCATCTGAAGGAAACCAGCTGCATCACAGAAACCTGAAAAAGCAGTAGTTGTGTAAGAGTGATCCACAGGTAAATAAGGTGTTGAGCTGAAGGAAACCGAAACGTTCCCATGCAAAAATACTTTAGCCACTGCACCTGCATAGGTGGAACCATGTAATATCATAAATGAGAATGCAACACACCCCACTGCGTCCTCTGGGTGCTTCTCCAGAATTGCTCACTGTGTACGTGCCTCTTGCCTTAGCATTAACGAGTAATTTCAGTATTTACCAATGGTTCTGCTGTTGGCATTTGTCTGGTCTCATTACTCACGCTTGAAGACCAGCTCTAAAGCCTGTCAGTGATACCAGATGTCCCTTCTTCCATGGCTCTTCACTCTCTTTTTACCTTTGGAAACTGGTAACGGCAAAGACCCAAAGCTTCACTCCACAGTTTCTCTTGACTCTGCCCAGAAGATTACTAGCTCCTGCTCTGCCACACATCAGCTGGTGCAAAAGCTCATTTCATGCAGAACTGTGTTTTTTTTGCTTTAGCCCATCACTACCAATTTCCAACATCCTATTTACCTTTTTGACTGCCACAGTGAACTGAGTGGAAGCTTGGACCAGTCATGGTGATTCCAGGACACACAGCTGGGTTCCACCATCAGGATTATTTTTTCCTATTTATGCTACTTTGCTTATATTAATAGTGGATTTCGGTTGCTATATAAATACCCCGTCAGCTTTTCTTTTCAGTACCTTGAATAACTTTATCTCAGCGAACTCTGTCATGCTGCTGTTCACTATGCACAGCAAAGGAGCTTGCACAGCTCTTTGGAGCTCCACAGGGAACAATTTGGGAACTGCTGACGCTCTTTTCCATGTAGTAATGTCATGCTGAGCAAGCCAGGATTTCAGGATGCATAATTTATCAACCTCCCATATTTAGTCTGGATTGGATGGATTTTGCTTTTGTCCAGAATACACAAGTTGGTTCCAGGGAGCAGTATGTGCAAGCACTGTGAGCCAACCATAAATTACTGCCCTACTGACACAAAGCAACCAGCAGGCATCAACAGTGTTACGGTAAATACCACCAGTGGTTTCAGGAAACCAGTGCAGGCAACACGCCCACAGCACCTTTCCTATCTAACCTTCCTGCAGCACAGCAACCGAGTCCTGTATGCAGAGCAAGGACCAGAAAATGGACTGGTAGAAGGCAGAGATCAGGTATATGACACAAGCACGAGGGAAAAAGACAACACAGAAACTGGCATTATTAAGGAGGAAGCAATCTGTTTAATTATCCCCTTTTTTCAGATTTCCACAGATGTTTGGAAACCTAGTAACAGCAATGAAGTTCAACAGACTTTGGAACAGCTTGATTACAACCAAACTCAAGTGTTGTTCTTCAAAACCAAATCATTGTTGAACAGAAACAGAACTGGAGCAATACAGATGAGGAATAGCATGTGGGCCTTGTTACTAGTTGTTGGTTTATGCTTTTTTTTTCCCCTGAGTGTACTGCAGATATCAATGTGATAGCTTTAAGTGTAAAGTCTTCCAAGTGTTATTCAGACAGCATTAAAAAATCATTTACATCTCCAGAAAATGACGCACTCCTCTTCTTCAGTTGCAGAGAGACTATTTAAGCCCCTATTCATACACCTCCTCAGACAGGCACTGTAGTGAGGCTTGAGATTTCTAACATCACATTGTACTACCACTGTCTCAAAAGAAAAATCAGGTCATAAATTACAAAATCCATGAGCTGATCCAGGACTAATCAAGTACTTTCTCTTTGCTCTGAGGGATTCAAGTGAAGGTGGGAGGAAAACTACCACCGCTACTCTGCCTCTTACTTGCTTGCACTGGAGCAGGAGGAGGCACTAAACACACACGCAGCCCAAACAGGTACCACTCCTCACGTGAAATCCAACACTGCATGCCTGCACTAGCAGGCATTTTAAAGCTGTAATAAAATAACCTCTCATTGCCCCATATATTTTCCAGTAAAGAGCTTATTCAAAACAAACCAAACCCCCAAAACCAGAAGACCAAGAACACTTAACCTGCATGATACAAATGTCTCAAACGAGCTCCAAGAAATGTGACGCTTCCACGGAGGAACCAACTCCCCACCTACAAACAAGCCTCCAGACCACTTACCAGCAGAGAAGGCATCTACAGTTTCCCCTTTCCTCCCCACCACTAGCAAGTTTTCCTGCACCATGTCACCAGCTATGATCTCACCACTATGCAGCTGCTTCTCTTGTTCCTTCTGCTCTCCATTAGCTGCAGCTGCACCAGTCCTGGAATACAGTGATAACCTCATATGCACGATGCATGTCTCGTGCCCACAACGCTTATCTAGGTGTACTGCTAAGGGCACAGGATGGTGTTCAACTTTGCAGTGTACAAATCCTTAGAACTAACCTCTTTAGAGTTTGCAGATATATAGACAACTCACAAGCTGCACAAAATACGTGTGCGTTGTGTTCCTCTCACTCTGAACCATGCCTGTGACACCTCTTTCCTGGCATATCGCTTCACTTTGCTGCATATAGGCGTAGAAAATGAAAACCAGGATTCTTACAGACCTTCTGCTGCGTACTCTGACTAACATCCTAGATTCCATTTTTAGCCATTGTGCTTATAGACATTGCACACTCACTCCCAGCTTTACTCTTCTTAATCTCGTTTGGCTCAAGAACTGCTTCTTTCATTACTTCCTCCCTGCCCCTCAACTTCCTTCTGTGTTCCTGAGAACACCACCACAGCCAGAGCTTGAACAGAGACAGAGAGCTTGAACACAGACCAGAGCTTGAAATTCTGCCCCGCAACTTTTCTTCACCAGGGCACAGTGCTGCTGCGTGCCCCCGACCAGCTGCAGTAGAAGCCCAGCCAACGCTTTCAAACACTACCAAAGACTAAGTCATCAGTAATTTCAGTTGGAAGCCCACACCCTGTGCTGCCCTCTGTCCAAATGATCCCAGTTTGGTTGATACTTCTAAGTAAGTAAGTAAGTAAGTCCTTCATCTTGTCCTGAGGACAAGGCACGTAACCACTTCATGAGTCATATTTCCAGGTTGCTCTTCCTTATACATATATGCAAAATTCTTCTCCACAGTAGTTTCCAACACGTGATCGCTACCCTGATCATCAAGACACTTAACCAGGCACAGAGTTCAAGAAAACAAAAGAAAAAAAGAGCTTAAACATATATGTACATGTAAGCACACTGGTACTTCCTGATTAATCAAGACCTAACAAAACTTATTAACCAGAGATACATAACAAAAAAAAAAATCTATAGATATAACTTTTTATTTAAATTAGCTGAGGATGTGTATTTGGCTCAGGACTATTTATCCTTGACTTTAAAGAGACTGACTGCAAATAATATAAAAAAATAGAAAATGTAAAATTAATCCCCATTTTCAAAAGTGTCACAAATCTTGAAAACACTTGTATAAATTCTGCAAAGTTTGTATACCCTTAAAGGGGCATCATTTAGTTACCATATATAATGATATTTGAAAATATTAGTACTTCACTCTAAAGTTTAAACACAGACGTATTCATGATGCATGTCATTTCAAGAGGGTATCAAAAGTGATATGGTTAGAAAAATATACATACTTTTGCTTCTGGAAAAGAACAGGTCATTTTAAATATCCATCAAATAAAATACTAAAAAAGCCTCTCTGCAGATTTTTTTTTTCACAGTCCAACATAAAATGTATGTTTATGTACCGCTTATGCAAGTTGTCATTTTCAAAAGATATAGTCAAAGCTTTGCCAGTACAGAAGAATGGAATCTGTTACTGCTCTCTAACCTGGTGGCTGCACTGATGCATGATTTTTTAGGCAAGGCAAAATAGGAGAGCCATACAGCGACACACAAAGCAACCATGAGAAAGGTCAGGAAAACTGGAAATACACAAGAATAAGGGAAAGCATCTTGATAAAGATAACATTGAGAAGAACAGTGACCAACAGTAACACACGTGAACTCTTTAGTAGCATGCAGTAATTTCTACAGGGAAAAAAACATACTTCGAGTATTAAAAGGACACTTTTGTGGTACTTGTCATGAATTTTAATAAGGACAATTTAAAGATTACTTTACTCTCTCCTGGAAATAGCCTGGACTGAATTTGTTGCAGTGGATATGGTTTGTTGCTGTGCTTCAGTTTGTGGCAGTGTTAAAATTCAACTGTGCACACACCAAGTAAACCAAAACAAAACCCCCAAGTTTTTAAAAGCAAGTGAGATAGGAAGAAGGTTTCAAAAACATGTGCTTTCAGTACTTGAGTGCAATGCAGTAGCCAACATAACTATGGTTGGATTATTACTTGCTTAAATTAATTCTAGTGTAAAGAGTGATTGCAGAAGAGCAACACGGTACTTCCAACAGTGATTGATGTTAGACATATGGTGGCACTTCAAGATCTGAAATCCTTTACAGTGTCCTTTTAAATGTCAGTAAACTAGTATCTTAGCTGCAACTGAAAAAGAAGAGAGGCAAATCCTAATGAAATAACCCAAATCAAGAATGTTCCAATATTTCACAGTAATAAAGAAACAGTCTATGGAACTACTGGACAGAAAAAAGCATGAAGGATAATAGCAGCATATGGTTTACAGTTTTCACCTTTCAGTTTATTAATATTAGTGGTGCACTCGGCAATGGATAAAGCAAGGAGTGAAATCCTGACAAAACTGGCAATAATCTACCACATGTCAACACTTAATTATGGTCCTTGTAAACAGCTAACTCCTTTTTGAACTTTAATTGCAAAGAAAATAATATTTACATATAATATATATGCATATAACCACAAAACCAAAATTAACTCAAATCCTTATCAAGGAAATTGCATTTTGAGGAGAAGAAAACATAACACAATATTAAATAATACACGTCCAAAGATTTTGAAGGCATCGTGACTTTCATGTTTTCTTTCTCCAGGCATTTCCCCCTGGATTTTAATAAACTAAATACTTCATTTCAGAGTAAATAAGTGGAAATATTATAGAACAACTCCGGTAAAGAATAGCTCCACTGCTGAAAAATGCTCGAGGCATGGTGATCCAGGACTCTGACTTAAAGCAAAAATAAACAGCGTATAGTGCCACAGCAAAGAAGTGGCCAATCAGTACCATTGGCTTAGGAGATAACCTGTGTTAAGAATAAATAGATAAAACACGTAAATAAATAGAATCAGAAAGCACTGACAAAATTTCATGTTACAAAAAAAGAGATCTTCACTCAAGACTACACACAACCCTCCAATTTAAGCAGCTCTGATCCTAGTTGTCTTGGAGCTGCTGCACACCCTGTATTCCTTTCTACAGCACAGTCAACACACACTGCTGCTTTCTCTTAATTTCTAGAAGTCTGTGTCTGTCTTTATCAGCCCCCAGGGGATTATTCTCAGCAGGCTCTATCAGTCTTAGCTCTCATTCCAAAAAGGGAGAAATACAAAAGCACACATTCTCACATGTTCAAAGCAGTATGATTTACTGTGCATTCATTAGTTTCTGAGGGGGCATTCAAAACCCCTTGATAGTCACCCATTTCCCCGTTCCTTAGGCTCTTTTATGGGAGACTTCATCCTTCATACTATTCTCAACTTGTCAAGCATGAAACCTCTCCACCAGCTCCTCTGCGAGTCAACCCCTCTACCTCATTCAAACTCCCATTCCACCTGCATTAACTTCTCTCCAGCTTTTAGTGGCATTTTGTATAAAGGAAATAAAAGAGTCATCATTTAAAGACATCATTTAAACTTCAACCTTTAGCATAGTCCTAAAAATACAGGCTCATGTGGACCATTCTCCTTGTGTAGAGCTGACTGGGAGCAAAGCAGATCCTCACAGAGGCTCACAATGCTTGACACTGTTCCCATTAACTGTCACCCAGTGCACTGAACTTACACAGACAGCAATCCAACAGGACCTGAGACGCATTCTCCACCCAGTCGGAAGTAATGGAAACAGGCTTTCTTCAGCTGATGCAAGGAATCTACAGAGTAAATTAAAGCGATTCAACAAATATATTCAACACATACCAAAAACTTTTTCAGCATACTCAACAGTGATATTAAATCCAGGATATTGGTACTTTGGTAGCTGTTGTTCTGTTAAATTTTGCTGGATTTTGAACTAGTTTTATTTAAGTAAAGGACAGTCTTGTAGAATACCTACATATTCTTTAATACTAACTGACACAAGAATAAGTGTTTTCTATTTATCTTTGCTGGTGGGGCTTTTGTCTGTTTTTCTAAATACTAATTCCAGACTTTCTTTCACATTGCTAAAACTCAGTTTACCTAACACTAGAACTAAACAACCAGGCAAAGAACACAAGCTAACTCATTAAAATCCTTTGACTGATGTATTTTTAATATATATCAATAGAGATATATATACACACACACACATATATATATATATACACACAAACATATGGATATGTGCTCATACACATACACATCCCCTTGCCAGGCATTTTTATTTACCAAGTTGTCTTTAAAATATATTTACCATCTGTGGCAGCGAAGAGTTCATAGAGTGCCTGGGCAAGAACATTCACTACAAAAGAATGAGATTTTTTTCTTGACCAGTAAAATGTTCTTTTTGCCTGAAAAAAGGAAAAAAAAAATAGTATTTCTGTCAGTAAGTACAGAAAAGCATCCCAAAGATTCCCAGTGAGGTGGTAAGAATCATACTGATGTGAAAATGTACAGTGGATTTAGTGATAGACTAGATTGCTTCCAAGCTACGTCATTAAGGAACTTTGGAAGTTTGTTGAACCAGTTTTCTAGGCTCTTCTTACACTAAATATAGGAAAAAAAAAAGAAAAAAGAAAAAAGAAAAAGGCAGTTCCAGAGTGTGCTTCATCTCTTCCTATAGTAGGTGCCTGAGGAGGTCAGCAACTTGAAGGGTAATACTCACCTAGTTCTCCCTGTTGACTGAGAATAAGTAGGAAATAACTGAAAGCCTGAGGTGACAAGCTGAGATGTAAGTATCTGCATTTGGTCAGGTAAGTAAGTCCTGTATTGTCCTGATCTTCAGGGTCCCTCTGAGCACTTCTCAACTTTCAAATACACTTTTTGAATCATTTACTTGTAGTCTGTAATTATTCTAGCTGTCTTTTAGCCAAGTCAATATGCCTAACCTGGTTAAAAGCAGTAAACAAATAAATGAGAAATCTTCTCTACTGATCAAAATTTTAGGTCTAAATCTCACTCAAAAAATATACCCAGCATCAACACAGATGGTGCTGATTCCTGGGAAAGAAAGCTTTGAAAACTGCTGTGCCTCACTAATAACTTACATGTTCCCAGGTTGCATAAAACTTAAAAGTGTGTCGTATAATTGCAGCAAAAGCTGCCTAAAGTAATTCCAAAGCAAAGCTTCACCTTAAGAAGGTCAGAATCTTCATAAAGGTCTGGAATATCCTGGAACAAGCTTCTCCATATCTTAACATCATTTAAAATAACACTCATTCCTCCACCAGTTAGAGGGTGTCTTATATTATATGCATCTCCTAAAAGAAGAACACCTAAGGTAAAAAAGAAAAATTAATGGGCTACTGCATGACTGTTATGTAATCTCAGAACACAAACCCTCTAATTTTTTTTTAATTAAACTTACAAAGAATTCATTCCCACCAAAAAATAAGATGAATAACAACTAGAAATTAAAAAAGAAATAAGAAAGGAAGGGAAAAAAAAGGATGTCTTGAAATCAATAGGCTTAAAAAGGCTATATGTATGCATGTGAGCCAAAGAACACAAACACACACACTTTCCAAATATCTTTCCTTTTTAAATCAAGTTTTCCTTAAAAAGAACACACTTGTATGAGCTTGAGCAACTGAGTGATTTAAACTTAAAAATAAAGCAGGCACTGATTTGAAGTCTGGTGTCAATGTAAACATGCCAGTTAAACTATGCCCAAGATACACATTTTCAAAATATTACTTCTCAGAGAAGAATTGTGAGACAATTGTATTGAACAACAAATGTATGTGTATGACAACAAAGCCTTAAGTCAGAAGAAGTTTATAATGCCTTTTCCCCTCCTTTTATTTCATCATACACACCTTTTTTGTTAACAGCTGAAGGAGGCAAGAAGCTGGCTGGCATAGTCCTTAGACGATCATTCTGAACTGCTATTAAGAATGGTTCCCTTAAGTGATCTGCAATAACCAAACATTTTAGTTACACTACTTATATAGAGTCTAAAATAATTTGCACACAACCCATTTTAACCTCTTCTTAGAGATACAACCGTTCTGAATTGAATTGCTAACCTCACAGATGTGAGCTGAATTAACTGCTATGTGATGTGGAAGGGAAGAAGGGTGAATGGTGACTTAAACAGTAACTGTGCACATGGAAAAAGCCCACGCAGTTCAGTGGATTCAATAAAAGGTGCCTTCTTTGGCACATTGAATTGTGACAATTATGGATGGAAATCTTTCTAGACTTACCAGGTAGTTGTGGATGAACGTTCTCAATCATGTATTCTTTTAAATTTTTTGGCATTTCCCCTCGAATATCAACAAGGACCCGAGTCTCAGTTGAAGAAATCTGATAGATTAGCACTGGACTAGTTTTAGCTAAAACAAGTTCAGCATAATTAACTTTAAACTGTGGAGTATCCTTAAAAAGAAAAGAAGGGGAAGGAAGATTGAGACTGATTCATGAAAGGATATTAAACCTTCAGATATACAAAACTGGTTTCTGAAATACTTTGAAATAAAATCCCATATCACATTAAGTTTGTGTTACTTTTCTCTTTAAATTAACAGGAGAAGTGTTTTGAAAAATAAAGTTCTGAACTTCAGTGTAGTTACAATACTTTTGGCAACACATTTTAATATTTACTAGGATAAATGTTAAGTTATACATTTCACTAGAATACCTCACTAGTATTTAATACATGCCATTGAAAACCTGTAATGTTACCAATGTAGTAGTTTTTGGTAAGATCATTTTGTTTTCTTTTCATAAAGAATGTGGTGGGAGGGAAAGAAATACACTAGTCTGTGTAGAACTACATGGAGATAGCAGTTCTAATTGAGTCTGTTGGAAAACATTTAATATTAGAATTCAAGACAGTCCTTATAAAAAAATGTTGAGTTACTTTTTTAAAAAAATGAAATGCTTGAGACTTTCCTATAGACGTATTCTCTATGTAAACCTCTGTGCCTCATTAACAATTGTATTAGAGAAGTCTTTCTTGTGTAAATCCTTCCACAGACTTCTGAACATCTCTCTTGCTTTAAAAAGCTCTGCTATAAAAGCCCATTCCATGTGAGTGCATATGACAATCCTCACTGAAACCAAAATATAGTGCTTTCCAGCTACTAGGAAGAAAATTAACCTAGCAAAACCAGGACAAGAGGTTCTGTAGGTACCTACACATTTGCATGGAAAACAAAACAAAACCCCACAAAGCAGTAAACAAAGAGAGAAAAAACACACACTGAGAAGATAGCATGTGAAAGTTCCCGAGGACTGATAAGCCCTGGAGACCAGCAATCCTGTGGAACCTAGAAGAGCTAATAAACTTAGGACACCAAGAGTCTGCTCAATGAGTCCAAGGCCACCAGGCCACATGAGTTTCAACAACAGCTTGTATGATACCACCAAGAGCGTAGTGGCTGTTGTACGAGAGAGAACAGAGCATGCAGGATTACACAAACACCTGAGGCACACTCCAAACACCAACTAGAAGTCCCTGGAATATCACTACAACCTGCTTCTTCTGAGCATATAGTCAGAGCTGGGCTCCCAAGTATTGCCCCAACCAAGGAGCTGTGAATGTAAGAGCCAAGTATGTGAGTGAATAACTCAACATGTATGTGAAGACTTATCTGACATTAATTATCACAGAGTGATTCTATCGATAACAACAGTTTAATGAATTAAAAGTGCTCTGAGAAATATTGATTGTTACCTGTTGTCCCCACCCCAGCACAGCTATTCGAACTCCTTTTATGGTAAAAGCAATTTACACACCTTAAATACTAAATACAGTAAGTTTAGTACCACCTTGCAGTGATCTTTCCAATAATCTTTAGATGCTGCAAGGCCTCTCTAAGACATCACAGATTCATAGAATAGTTTGGGCTGGAAGGAACCTTTAAAGGTCTTCTAGTCCCCTGCAGTGACCAGGGACATCTTCAACTAGATCAGGTTGCTCAAAGCCTCATCCAACCTCACCTTGAACGTTTCCAGGGATGGGGCATCTGCCACCTCTCTGGGCAACCTGTGCCAGTGTTTCACCACCCTCATTGTAAAAAATTTCTTCCTGACATTTCATCTGAATCTCCCCTGTTTTAGTTTAAAACCATTACCCCTTGTCCTATCACTACGGGCTCTACTAAAAAGTCTGTCCCCACCTTTCCTTTAGGCCCCCTTGAAGTACTGAAAGACCCTGGGAAGTACTTTTTTCCTAATTTCTGAGTGTAGACCACAAACAGCCAATATAACAAAGCATATGTATAATAGTAATGAACTACAACATAATCAATGAAATTCAGACCTGCATTAAGACACAGTAGTGTACTGGCTTATATGGCATTATACAGAAAAGTTACCTTCAAAATACAACCAACAAAATGGGATGAAACAGTAACTTTGTTGGAGATCAAGTTTTTTCTAAACTTGGAGAAAAGTCCATCAGCTACAACAGTAAGTGGTGCATGAAGTTCCTGCAGCATGGAAGAAAGGAAAAAAAAAGAAAAGAAAAAAAAAGGAAAAAAAAGACATTTTCAATTTTATTTCAGAACAGTGGGAACCAACTCCCAAGCCCTCATTTTCAATTGCTATATTTCAACAAATAATAAGAGGATCACAGACCAACTTTATAATATATGGATTAAGAAAAAAATGTAATTTTTGCCTTCCTCATCCTGATATTTAACTCTATTTCCTCTGAGAGTTAGCCCAACAATATGCTCCAGCTTTTTTAGACATGCATTCAGATAACAAAGTGTCATGGCTTAACCTGGCCAGCAGCCAAACCCCACACAGCTGCTCGCTCATGGGATGGGCGAGAACTGGAGGGGTAAAGGTAAGGAGACTCATAGGTTGAAATAAAAACAATTTAATAAGTGAAATAAAATACAATTAAAATAATAATAACAGTGATAACAGAATATACAAATGAGTGATGCACAGTAAAACTGGTCACCACCCGCTGACCAATGCCCAGCCCATTCCTGGCTAGCGATTCCCAAGGAGAGAAAATCCTGAAACCACAATCCCAGAAGAAAAAAAAAAAAAAGAGCTTTCTGGCCAACTCTCATTTATATACTGGACACAGTGTTACATGAGATGGAGTATCCCACTGGCATACTGTATTGGGTTTGCGTGGCAAGGTTT